ATTCCCGGCGCTCCCGGCATTCCCGCTGCTCCTGACGGCCGGGGGAGGCTGGAGGAGGCCGGGGTTCGCCGAGCGCTGGAGCAGCCTCCGTGCGCATTCTGCAGCCTCGGTGTCGCAGCCGCTTCCCTGCCGATCATGGGGACCCAGCAGCCCCGGCCCCTGCTCGCCGAGGCCTCGTTGACCCCCCTGTTTGGCCCCCCCCGCCGGCACCCAATCGGACCGGCTTGTGTAGGAGCTCCCAGAACCAACGGGAGCTCCCAGAACCAACGGGAGCTCCCAGAACCAACGCGGGAGCTCCCCTTGCTGGTTCGGCAAGAACCGCTCCAGAGCGACAGCGTTGGTGTCATGTCCCATTCTCCGGTCTCAGCGTGTACTCGGTTCAGGAACAGGAAAAAAAGGTCCCTTAATTCCAGCTGCTTTGGAGAGAGAAGGAGAAAAGTAGGAATTTGTCCCGAAAGGAGAAGAGGATCCAGTCAGGAAAAGGAACTGTCAGGCTGAGTCTTGAGGGGCATTTCTACAGCTCGGAGCGGGTAGCGGCTGCACGGGCCCCATGCAACGTGTCCTACCCCAGGCAGAGCCCCCGTCCCGCAGCTGGGCTGGAGGGCTGGACGCTGTGCGCGGGGTGGAGCGCGCTGGGAAGGGCACCAGGATTTCTGCATCCCAAGGACATAACCCTGGCAGTAAGGAAAAAGCAGGTGGAAACTCCTAAGGTGACAGCAGACACTGCAAAACACGAGCACGGGGTCTATTCAGAGGCTTGTAAACTGCAGCAAAGCCACTGGGTTGCTGGGCAGGGCTGGGCTCGGCTCTACCGGGGGCTCCATGCCCCCCAGCAGCTCTTCCTGCCGGGATACCCTCATATGCACTGCCTTTCAGGGCACTCATAAAATGTTCACTGCCCGTTTTGCATGATTCGTGCCACTCCTTCAAAGCCCCTGGACGTGCTGGCTTGTGGAGGGGCTGCTTGCAGAGGCCAGGGTGCTGAAACCGCCCCGAAGGCTCCTCGGGGTCCCCCGAGCAGGCAGGGACCTGAGGAGGCGACGGGATTCCCAGCTGCGCTGCCGTGTGTAGCCAGGGCTCGCCCGGGCCGCAGGACGGGACCCACGCGGTACCCCGGGCTGCAACGGGCACCCCTGGCTGCAGCGAGCGCCTCCAGCCTGGGCCGCCCCACGGGCCCCCGGGCAGGCAGTGCAGAACGTCCGCCGCCACCAGCGGGGAGGGGGATCCCAACATCCACCCACGGAAACCCGGCCAGGGCCAGCGCTTTGCTCTTCACTTAATGGCTATTCAGGTAAGACACGTTATTTTAGACGCAGTTTTGCAATGAGATCGCCACGTACATTCAAAGGCCGTGTGTTTCTTTTGTCTTCCCTGAAAAGGCTCCCTCTGAGCACTTTATTTTCCCACTATTTGCAGATTTGTTTCTAAATTGTCAAAAGTTAATGGCTTTTCTGAGTGTGTGCTTATTTGGCTCTGTGTTCTATTTTTTGAAAGACTTCAAACATATTAATCTTAAATCTTAATACTTGGTTGAACAGGAAAAGTATTTACTGCAAATGCACTAAAGATGTGCAGAGTATTTTATATGCAGTTGCTATCTTATAAATATTAAAGCAAAACTTTCCTTCACATTTCAGGGTTGTTTTACAAGTTTCATTAAAGCCAAATTAAATCCTCTTCGTAAAATTGCTTTCCACAGTTCAGGAGTCGGCCGCAGGATCAGCTTTCAGCTGCAGCCCCATTTAAGCAGAGTTTATGGGGAAGGAAAAAAAAAAAAAAGGAGGCAAAACCTACAGGACGGTCTAACTTTGGGGTCGGATGCTCAGCTGTGGCTGTGGGTACCAAAGCGGAGCGAGCCGCAGAGCGGAGCTGTCGGCGACGGGGCCCTGCGCCGGCTCCGCGGGGGCTCGAGCGGCCGTGCGGGATCAGGGGCTTCTGCTGCTCAAGCCGAGCTGGGCTCCGGCTGCTCCTTGTCTCTGCCCATCGAACACTAACGTCTCTTTTTAATGTTCTGGGGCCTTTTTCCCCATTAAGTGCAGTTGCAAATTGTAACGTTGCTTTCCGTGGTGCAGAATAGTGGCAAAATCCCTTGCTGCTGGGGGTTTTGACGTGAATCCGCTGCTTTGCAGGGCAGGCGGCACCAGCGGCTTCCCAGGCTCCCTGCGGAGCCGCCCGGAGAAGGGGACGAGGAGCCGGGAGCGCCCGCGGCAGCTGGAGCCGCCGGAGCCGCTGGCCCCACGCACTGGCCCAGGCGGCAGCGCAGGGACCAGGACCCAGCAACCGGCGTCACTAAAACGTTCGCTGCGACTCCACAAGAGCCAGCACTTCGTTTCACAACCACTTTCCTCATGCAAGTTGATTTTATAAAGAAGATTAAAAATTGAGAGCTTTTTCTAAGTCTAAGCTTAATGCATTTTATAAAAATAAATAAAACTCAGAAACATTCTGAAATTTTGCATGTATATTTTTATTGATTTTAAATACAGATTGATACAACAGATGTAAAATGAATAATTGTGTTACAAACAATACTCTGTCTTCTAATATAATGTAAAATAAGAATTAAAAAAATTCAAACAAGATATAATTCAATATTTGCAGTCCTGATTTTTTTTAAATCTAAATAGGGAATGAAAGCTCCTGCCATTCGCTGCCCGTCTCTTGCCTGCCCGCGCTGCTGCGGCGGTGCCTGGGGAGTCGTGCGGCCCCGGCCGCGCCGGGCTGTCCGGCCGGCCGCTGCCCACGCGGCCGGTCAGGGTGTGCAACGTGTGCCCTGCAAAACCCGCAGTGTGCAGTGCAAGCTGCAATACAAGAGCCCAGTTACAAGATTTTAAACTTGTCGGCACTCGGCACTTGTCGGGATTTGCGGACAGACCCAGGCGAGACCAAGCGCGCGACCCGAGCCCTTGGGCTGCACCCTCTGCGCCCTTTTCGGGCTGAAATTAGAGGGGATTTCACCTAACAAACAACTTATTAGGAATATTAGATTAATGGGAAGATAGCCCAGAAAGAATGCGGCAAAATTCATCTCAAAAATTCACAGCACTTTAAAGCCAAATGTGTGTGGGTCCTGCTGCACTCCTACAGCTTTTTGATGATAACACAGGTCTGTTTACCCATAAAATGTCTAATATTTGCTCTCTAATGACTTTCATACAAGACCAAATAATTTATATTTTAGATCATCATAAAGAATATCAAAGCATTTGTTTATCACTCACATACACAGAGAAAAGCAATCTGAGGGATTTTAGCTGCACTGGAAGGAACAAGCTGCCATTTTTCCTCCCCAAGCCCCACTAGTGTTTTAATGATGTTCCCTGCTAGCTCCAGTTGTCATTCCCAAGGATGCTGCCTCTGCCAGCCGTGCTTCCCGACTCCCGTCCCAGCTCTGTCCTGTCCAGACCTCAGGGGCTTTTCCTGCCTGTCGATGGTCTTTCCCATGAGGAATCTGCTGGTGACAGGAGCGGGTGAGATCCTCGAGGAGCACGTGAGCTAAAATAAAGGACACTTCATCCCCACGTGTCTCCGGGGCCGTGCACAGCGGGAGGCAAAGGCGGCTGCTGCCCGCAGCCACTGCTGCTCGTGCACGGGAGGGTGGAAGGCGGCTGCTGGCTCCCGCATGCCACGCTGCGATGCCGCTGCACCCGCTGTGCCCGCTGCAATACTGCTGTGCCCGCTGCAATACTGCTGTGCCTGCTGCGATACTGCTGCGCCTGCTGCGATGCTGTTGCAGCCGCTGCGCTGCCCGCTGCGCTTCCCACTGTGCTTCCTGCTCCGCTTCCCACCACGGGGCTGCCCGCCTTGGCTGCAGACACCGCGGAGCCGGGGCAGGGTCGGCACACGGTGTCAGTTGCATCCTAGGATGAGGATTTTCCATCCCTGCCACTCCCAGGACCCTTCCTGCAACCCCGCGCGGATATCGTCTCGCTCTGCTCCCCTGCCTGCTTCCCAGCCTGGAGCTCCGTGCACAAGGAGCGAGTCAGCAGCTTCGCTCCTTCCCTTTCCATGCATTTATTCAGCGCTCCGGACCTCAGGAGGACAGTTAAAACTGGAAAAGGTAACAAACAGCATGACAACAGTCCCGTAACAAAGAGCACGACAACAGTCTCACTGATATTGTATCTCGTGGCCCTTGGGCCCCCCAGCCACATGCACGTCTCAGCTCCTGACCTCGGAGCTTTAGGAAGAAGCCGCCGCAGGGGGATCCCTGCGGAGACACCGTGAGGTGCCGGCACCGCAGCAGCTCCAGCCCCAGCGCCCGGCGCTGCCGACAGCCCGCATGGCCGCGGCTCCGCACGAGAGCCCCTGCGCCCCCGCCGCTTCATTAACTAGCCCCCACCGCTTCATTAATTAGCCCCCGCCGCTTCATTAACCGCTTCACCGCTGGCAGCCCGTGGCCGCGCCGAGGCCGCCACACAAACTTCCCACGTGCTTTCCCAGCTGGTGTCCGTGCCACGGATGCCAGAGGGGCTCCTGGCTCTGTTTCACTGCCAGTATCCGCACCCTCGCAAGGCTGCAAGCTTAACTCTTCCTGCTGCTTTCAGCTGGGGCCATTTCGGACCCTTGCGGAACAGCAGCTCCGGCTGCAGGAGCGGCGCCGGCTCCGGGCAGGCAGCTCCTCCCGGCAGCGCTCCCGGCTACAGCTCGGAGCGGAGCCGCACAGTGTCCAGACGCTC